TTCGGGTTTAGGGCTTAGGGTTTCGGCTCTTCAATCAAATGGGGTGTGTCAGGGTTTTGCGCGAGCTTCAGAGCTATAGGGACCTGATCAGGATTGCAAGCGTGTTCCGCAATCATGGAAGGCCCCTGCTTAACAAGTCTCTTTATGCCCTGTAGCATTAGATTCACCTTGTTTCAGTAATAGTCTCCCTCCTCAGTCCCTCCAGAACGTTCTGTACAAAACACCCCGCAGCAATATTCTGACTAGCACGGCCCCTATGCTAAAACCAAGCGCTCATCAGTATGTATTAAAACCCCAAATCCCTCTCAACCCTCAACCCTAGAGCCCTAANNATCCTAAATCCTCAACCCTAAAGCCCGGAAGCCCCAAACCCGAAACCCAAAGCCGTGCACACCGTGGAACTCAGGAAGCAAATGCACTCTTGCTGTCTGATCCCAGGCTCAGCCCACAGTCTTCACTTTAAAAAAGCCCAAAAGCATTGGTTGGGGGTTTTAGGGTTTAGGGTTATATAGGGTTTAGGGTTTAGGCTCAAATTTGTGGGGGGTATAGGCGGCTTAGGGTTTAGAGGGTGTGGGGTTTATAGTTGACGGTTTGTGGGGTTCAGGGCCCAGGGACTGCCGTCCAAATCGCAGCTTTCAGTTTCACGGTTCGGGTGGCTTAGGGTGCTGAAAACTTTCAATCAAGGCGGTTTAGGGTTTAGGGTTTTAGGGTTTAGGGTCAGTGTAGTTTATGTGTCTCACTATCACTGTCCACCGTGGCCTTGCCATTCACGAAAACCGGTCACCTACTCAGCTACTTCGACCCAGCCGACTGCTCCGTGGTGTTTCGGTGTCGTGTATATAGAAGCCTGAAAAAATCACACCCTGGGTTGGGCGTGTAAACCCCTGAAACTATCACTGGGTTGTAGTTTTGGGGCCCTTAAAAGTATTGATGAGTAGGTATCTCTATAAGAGCCATAAAGGGACATTGACAAGTTTCCCAAAGTGCCACCTGGAGAAGTACATGGTGGGACTAACACTGCCCGCCCCGGTACCATTCTTCAATTTCCCCAAATTAGTATTGGCAATCATTATGGCCCCTACATTCCTTTTCCAAGGACACACAAAGAACGAAACCATGGTATGGAACCTCGAAGCGGCAGTTTGTTGGGGCTACCCGTACCCTAAACCCTAAACCCCAAACCCCTCAACCCTAAACCCTAAATCCTAAAACAACTCCAGGGAGCCATCATCCCGTCCAAGCTCTGCTCTTTAGCCGCCTGGATGCAATTCAGGGTTGAGGGCTTAGGGTTTAGGGGTTTAGGGTTTAGGGTTTTAGGGTTTAGGGTTTAGGGTTTATTCAGGGTTGACGGTTTGCGGTTTGAGGCAAGGCTTTCATTGGGTTGGCGGTTTGCGGTCCAAAGCTAAACCCTGACCTCGCACGCACTCAGCCTTCTTCTTCGAAAACAAGCAAGAAAATGCGACACTCCCTAACTCTAAACCACGGAGCAGTTGAGGATGTTGAGCCCCTGTTTTTCAGACCCGGGGACCCTCATGTAGGGCCGTAACAGGTTGGCCAGCGTTTGGAAATGCCACTGTCCCACGGTTTAGGGCTTAGGGTTTAGTAGAACAGGGACGGGCTTTGGTAATTATCCAGGCCGCAATTTTACATAGTGCATTTACTTAGCGGAAGGCTGATCCCCTTGACGAACCCTATATATATATATATATCTATCTATCTATCTATCTGTTCTTAAAAAGGCACTCTACAGCTTGGGGACCCAAAAGAAATCCTAATTTGGACAACCACCCATATATCTGTAAAGAAAGTTCCTGCTAAGCCTGACCAAACCCTAAACTATAGATAAACCCTGGGCCAAAGCCCAAACGCTAAATGCTAAACCCTAACTGGGAAACGCGAGAGCAACAAAAGGATCCAAAAACCTAAAAGCCCGAATGCTAGACTAAATGAGCACCATCGCCTTCCACCTTTACACACATCGATACACCTTCTACTACACAAAACTCTGCTTTCGATACTTAGCTACTAGGGTCATAAACCCCGTCATTGGCGTCGCAAGCAAAAATGCCAGAAATGTAACACAATTACCAAATTGCTAGCAAAGTCCCACGATCCTCCAACTAAACGGACCCCGTTCTAAATTCTACACTCCAAGGCACGTGAGTCCTCATCGCTGCGGTTAGCCCACGTTGAACCGGGTAGGGAGCCGGTTCGGGTGCCTCGGGCGCCACCGCGGCCAGGGCATAGGCCGTCTTGAAGCTTCTTCCTCTCCGAAGATTCTTTCAGGGTTAGCCACATACCCCTAAACCCGAAACCCTAAACCCTAAACCCTAAACCACCTGCAGGGCCTACGGGTACCAGCATTGTCTTTTGCTTGCATCGGGAAACAAGAAGTTCGAAAAGCTTGCGTCAGGCCTTTCAGGCGCGCGCAGACGTGCTTCTTTCTGTCGGTGCCACTTAGGTAAAGGGCTTAGGGCGTATTATAGGGTTTAGGGGTTTAAAGTTTAGGGTTTGGTATAAGAAAACTTCACCTGATCCAGCAGCATTCTAAAAGCTGCAAAAATGCAGACGACTGTCTTGCCACTGCCTACGGAATTGGGAAAATCATCATGCCAAATCGAGGTGTGAAAGCTTGAACGCTGGGGGACTGCAACATCTGCTGGTTCAACGGCCATCGGTCAACAAACCCTGATCGGCTCTACCATTCATAGATAGGTTCACAGACTTGCTAAGGCCTCTTAAGAAAAAGCACTGCAAATGTACCTCCTAGAAAAAGCTGTTTGTCATGAATGCAGTGAACATGGCCAGTACTGATGGTGATGATAACCTCCTCAAAACTCTACTGCTATCAGTGTCCCTAGTATTGTATATATTAACCGCGTCCAGTGACAACGACTGATTGCAGCACCATAATATTCCTTCTGTGTTCGCTAGTCATGCTCACCCACGCTGAGATATACTCTAGTTGTTCGGTGCTCTCACAAGTTGCTGTAGAACTGAGGCCAGATTGGATTACACACGCTATCATACGGAGATATGCTTCTGCAGGTCTGGAAAACATTATCTGAAGACCGATCTTGAATCAAGTGTGCCGTCAACAAAGCCACATAGACACACAGTGAATACGGCCAACACTGCCGAGAGCACAAGCATTGTCATCAGTGCAATCCTCCCAGGAGACGACGGAGCTTGTCACTGCCACGTGAGCCATCACTCTGGATTCCGAATGTCATGGCAAGCTGAGAAGTTTAGCCACAAAGGGTTTTAGCATCAATGTAACACAGATTTTGGCGAACAAAGCATATGCCATGTTAGTAATTCGACCCTTTTGGGAATGCAAGGAACCTGATTGAGACGCCCCCCGCTCTGTATCTACAGATGTTTGGGATCCATGCGAGGAATCTTACCAACAAGCAGGAGTCTCATGAGGGTGAATACATTCCCCAGCTGCAACGACAGTAACAGCAATAATTGCAAAGTGACAGCTACCAACACCAAATCGCAGAAGCGACAAACATGATGGTACCCGTGCGCCATACACGACCGGGTAATGGCTATGTCTGCCTACATGCACACACCTGTGCATACACCAATGTGTGTACATAGTTCCTGCACATAAACAGTGGTTATTGCATGCATACAAAAGCACATGTGTACTTGCGGTGTCTACTGTGCCGCAGTATGCAGCCAATGTGTAATAATGAGGCAGAAGATTGTGTCTTCATTGTCTTCATATCTATTCTACTTATTTTCGGGCACGGGGATGTAGGAGCAGTGAACATAGAACTACAGGGCCACACCTTGAACCATTACGTAGCAAGCGAGAACCTGACTGTAACATGACCATTTATCTCTCTCGCATATAGCAAGTCTAGCAACAATTCAACACAAGAAAGAGAATTGTGTGAGGACAGTCAACCACAGACGTACACTAGCAGCACTGCTGCTGCTTGAGGTGAAATCTCGAGATTCGGTTTGTCTCATAACAGTTTACATTTTAAGGTTCAGGATGCGCAACAAAATAGTCTAGATACGTGGAAAAAGAACACTAGCGCAACCTTACACTAGCTGTCACTAGCTGCTGCTAGCATGTGTCCTTCTGATATCACAATGAGAGTCACCATCACCATCATCATGACTATCAGCATCATCATCATTCGCAACTTCAAAAAAGTCGCCCCCCCCCCCCCCANNCACACACACACATGCGCACACACACACACACACATGATTGCTCTTCACCTACAGTGATCTATTCCCTCGCTGCTCGAACCAGAGTCTTCTCAGGCTCACGTGCAGATACATAATTACACTGCTTCCGACGGTCTACACACGTCCTTTTAAGACCTTCATTCCCATGTTGGTCATCAGGCCAGCATTCGCTGGTTTAAAATGGTTTAAACACTGTTTGTTCCCTTCATGCGCCTTCTGCCGCCGGCTCACTGTACGCCCAAAGCCTGAAGGAGGTGACTCCACTGCTGGACGAGCTTTGCCTGCCTCTCTTGGGGAAGGGCAAGGACACGAGCCAAAGCAAAGGAGCCTGCAAAGACGAGGGTTTAGGGGTTTTAGGGGGCCAAACCACAGGACCCGCCAGTGACGAGGGTTTAGGGGCTTAGGGTTTAGGGTCTAGGGTCAAAGCAAAGGATCCTCCAGTGACGAGGACAGGAACCAGCTTGGCCAGCAGGGCGTTCGTGACACGACTCCCATACACATAGGTGCCAACTTCACTCTGTCCCATGTAGGCCACGAAAAGATGCTGGCGGTGACGCTGCTGCCATGTCAGCTTCCACTGAAGACTGTTCACGCTCGCCACAGCACTGTCTTTCTAATGGCTCACGACCGCAGCCCCATGGAGAACATGCAAAGCGACGCAACAGTTGGTGAGGTTCACGAAGAGATGCGAAAGCAACCAGTCGGTATTGTCTTGGAGACCCAGCAGCACCTCCGCTATAAGCGGAAACATGCCAAGAAGTGCAAAGGTTGATAGATGGAGATATGCCGCACCAGTCCAACGCGAGATCTCGCCAGCCAAGGCAGCAATGTACGCCCACCTTCAGCTGCAGAAAATACGTTTTTGTGAGCGCTTTACACATACCCGAACATTCAAGAAACCAAACACAAGACTAACCAACAAATGCCATTCAACGACTTGGAAATATTAGGTTGAGGCACTCTTCATAGGCTATCTGAAAATCAGCCGGACGCTGGGCATACGCAACTGCAAAGCGATCCAGCAAAATCCTGGGCTGTTCTGTCTTAGACAGCTTGAGTTTGGGGCTTTCAAGTTTAGGATTTGTGCAAAGAATCAATCCTTCGACTAACTTAGGTAGGGTTTCCAAACTGTAACAGTTGCTCCTTGGCAAGAGTCTGCAATACTGAAATTGAAGGTCCCGTTTAAACCCTAAACCCTAAACCAATTCAATTTAGCCTAGGATCACCATGGAGCGGTTCAGCCGGAGCAACACGAAGGCCCAGCCCAAGCGCTGGAGTGCCAAGCTGATCGGAAATGGGTGGGCAATTGACCCCGGGTGAAGCTGCACAAGAAACACGAAGCACAGGAGACAGATGACAAGGTACACACCGAGTGGTAGCAGGTCAAACTTCAAGGAGGTCTGCAACCTCGAGCCCAGTGTCTTCTGCATTTCGGGGATCCTCTCTTGCATGAGCTCGCGGAAATCATCGGAACTGCTCACGGTTGCTAGCAGCAGGAAGAACACGACAGCCTCCAGGGCATAGAGGGTATGGCTCCACTTCTCGTAGCCAACGGTCATGTAGGAGCTATAGCCGCACAGGGCACAAAAGCCCGCAGACACCAGCTTGGCACTGATCGCAACACCTTTGCCCTATGATCTGGGCATCCTCCTTGCACAAGCCCGATCGGTAGGTGTAGCACAGCACTTGCAGAAGCCATGAAGCCAGACACAACGAAACTACACCTGCAGTCGCTCTCTTGGGAGAAATCCGAAAGAGATATCATCGGCCGCCCAGCATTCGCAACCAGGGCCCTGTTCGAGAAACGCCGAACTTGCTTCATGGATTGGCATCTGCCAGCCGCCTCCGGAAAGTCTTGCCGCGGACATGGCACCACTGAATCTTGAGATCTCGGAGACGAGAGCTCCTGCGAATCCTCATTCTCAAAGTGATCCTCCGGCTCGCTGTCTGACGACTCTCTTGAAACGGATCCGACGCCGTAGCTTATCGGTCTCGTGACTTGTGGTGTCACCGAGCCTACCGGCCGCGTCCCTTGTGGTGTCACCGAAGGCAGGGAGCAGGGATTACCTACAGGCACCGCCACCCAGCCATCGCACTCCTCGGCGGGTGCTGGGACCACTTTGACTGCAGACTTCATAAAGCCTTTTCGGCCTTATTGAACTGGTTACTGAGCCTGCTACGAGCTGCACCGGCAACATCCAGCTTCGAAGCTGAAGGGCATTCATCTACTTTCGGTGCTAGGCTTTATCAGAACAAGCACCAGCACATTATGGTAGCTCAGTATCAGCTTTAAACCGTACTTGTGCTGTAGCTCTGAACCCCAAGCCCGAGTAGACGGATTGGAACCCGCTGACGATTACCATGAGAGCTTCAAGTGCTCCAGACATTGAGGATTGGGGTTTTAGGGTTAGGGTTTAGGGTTTAGGGTTTAGGTTTTAGGGTTTAGCGTGCGGAGTAACGGTGCAAAGCCAGGGAGTGACAGTTGAGAACACCCGGTGTGGCCAAAGACCACGTATATAGACAGCTTGCAACCTGGACGTCTTAACAAAAGGCGGGCTCTTGCACTTTCCACAAACTTCCTGCACCCTGCTAAGACTCCCCAACCGCTCACAGCACGGTAACACCCCAACCCTCTAAAGCCCTAAAACCGTACATTCCTCAGATCCCAAGGCCTAAAGCCTGAGCTGTAACCCCGAAACCCGAAATACTTAACCCTCAACTCGAAACGCTCCAATTACCTGTAAGCCTTGCTTTGACATTGCGTCCTAGCCGGCCCGAGAACGCCCGCGATGCTACAGTGTCTTCGGGCCTCAGGTATGGGTTTCAGGACAACTCGGGTTTGAGGTTTGGGGTTTAGGCTTGAGGCTGAAGGGGCATAGGTTATAGGTTCCTTAAACCCTAAACCCAACCCTAAACCCTCAAACCCTAAACCCTTAAACCCTAAACCCCCAACCCTAAACCCTTATGATAGGACAATGGTCCTACGTACTGTTTGGCGCTGGAAAAAGTAGGCTCTCGTTTTCGTGAAGCTTGCAGTCGGTTTGTTTATAGGGTTTAGGGTTTAGGGTTGGAGTGCAAAGGCTTTGGGGTTCAGCGTGTTTGCTCTTTAGGGTGTTTAGGGCGTTGGGTTTAGGGAGTTCAGGGTTTAGGGTGCTGAGCGCTGCCTTTGGATCTAGGAATCTACCTCGAACTACCATAACCTGCCTTTTGTAGGTTCTTGTTATGAAGCCCTGATATAGGATTTACAAGGACCCGGCTACAAAGTATGTTTTGTAGGTTATAAGGTAGGGTTCTAGAGGCCTGGACGGCAATCTAGGGCAAAAGGGCTGCGGTCTGTCTTTGAAAGCTAGATCTAAAGGCACGCGCGCATGTGCAATAGGGGCCTCAATCATCACATCAGAGTTCCCGGGCAAATTAGAAAAATACGGATGATTTAGGGCCCATAGGGGCCTGAATAATCAGAATAGTGGGGGGAATATCAACATACTACAACTATAACACGGATGCCCCATAATCATATTAGGTCATTATTTAGGACCTATATATTAATGAGAAGGAACCCCTAAGTCGCCCCGCACATATTCCCTAAACTCTAAACCGTGTAAACCTCAAACTTAAAGGCGAGGACTAAACCCTAAACCCTAAACCCTAAACCCTAAACCCTAAACCCTAAACCCTACACAAGAGGTCGCCAACAACTCTGACGATGTGGGGCTCCATAGGGCTGTATAGAGTTTGTATGTTTGTGCAAGCGTTGATAGGGCCTTAGAAGGGGTTTAGAGGGTGGACTTGGGGTTTCGGGTTTTGGGCTTAGGTTTACGGGATGACAGGCGCACCGTTTGGTTTCCCGAAGGCTTTCCAGGTTTGCGATGAATGTCCTCCAACAGCTGAGCCACACCTTGGGGACCAAATGACCCGTATAAGTAGGGGCCCTATACCCCGATACTATGAATCCCTATACGGTATATGAACCTGAAAACCTTTTGGGGTTCACTTCCTCCTTAAGGCACGGTCTAGGGTTCAGGGTTCAGGGTATAGGGTCGAACAGGTCGTGCTTCGATTGCAGTCCCCAAGGCCACCAGCACGGGCTGAAGATCCGGCTGCCACCATAAACCCTGTAGACCCTCAACACTACCTATTGTCTCCATTGTAGTTCCTTTTTTTGGTTAAACCAACTTTATATTTAGGATCCTATAAGGGAACCCCCCAAAAGGAACTACAATGGAGACTATAGGTAGATCCTGTCAAGCCTAAACCCAGTTCTCCGACAGTGACGCGGCGAACGAAACCCCGGTGCTTCCGCAAGGAGCAGCGAGGCACATGAACCAAGCTCAAACGTGAAAAACACACTATGTAAACCCCTCCCAGCAACATACAACCCCAACACCATAAAGTCTGATACAGGGGCCTTAGTAATTAGAATAGGGTTTTTGGAGGTAGATAGATTTTTACTGTATAGGTACCCTAAACCTTAAACCCTAAACCCTAAACCCTAAACCCTAAACCCTAAACCTTAAACGTTTAGGCCCCCATATCAGACCCTGAAACCCCACACTCGACGGAAGGTAAGCCGCTTAGCCCTCATGCCGTAAGTTCGCCAAAGTCCTAAACCCAAAGGGTTTAGGGCTTAGGGTTTAGGGGTTCGGGTTTAGGGCTTAGGGTTTAGGGGTTCGAGTTTAGGGCTTAGGGTTTAGGGGTTCGGGTTTAGGGCTTAGGGTTTAGGTTTTCGGGCATAGGGTTTAGGGTTTAGGGTTCAAGGCTTACGGCTTAGGGTTTAGGGTTTCGGGCTTAGGGGTTCGGGTTTCGGGTTTAGGGCTTAGGGGTTTGGGTTTAGGGTTTGGGAAGCCGTATCAATCAGCGGAGCAGCTGGCAGGAGCCCAATGCATCGGCCCAAACACGTGGGATGCCGGCCTCGTGCCGAGAGGTTTCGGATTCGGGGTTTAGGGTTTAGGGTTTAGAGTTTCGGGTTTCGGGTTTACGGTTCATCTGGCATGCGAACAAGGTTCGTAATGGCCTGCCTGGCGATCCAAAAACCTACCGTTTTCAGGGTTGTGCCACGTAATAACATGGGGGTCCTAGAAAACTATGTTGTAGGATTTGGCGCTCCAGGTAGGCATTATACGTAAAGGATCATGGGCCTCAGTAAGTGGGTAACTATACTTATAACCCCAATTAAGGGACTTTTAACCTTACTTACTAAGCCCCATGATCCTCCAAGTAGGGTTGATGGAGGGTCAGCCGGAGCGACAGACAAGACCTGGCACCCTGCACCCCACAAAGTCCTGAACACTTCCCTAGCCTAAATGCACAACCCGACATCCCAGACCCTCTGCCCTTCAAAATGCCTTAGCGTAACCTTGACTAAGCCCTTCTGAAAACGACTGCTTAGTCTTGAAGTGCCGCATTAGGCAAGATTACGCCGAAAACCCTAAACCCTAAACCGCCACAAAAATCCTCAACCCTAAACCCTAAACCCTAAACCGCCACAAAAACCCACAACCGAAACCCACCGAACACTGCAAAACCCCCTCCGAGGTGTGCCTCGGGAGTTCTCAGCAGACCGGTGCCCAACTGGACCTGGGGGCCGTTCAAACTGCGGGCCTTGGGCTTAAAAATTAAAGGAAACTACAGGTGGGGAGTTTAGGGTTTAGGAGTTTAGAGATAGACCTTCTATAAGGCTCCGATAACGGTAATTACCCACCTGAAAGTGTCCTAGATTTAAAAAGGACCCCCCAAAACCCCTCTACTTGGGTTTAGGGCTTTTTTGGTTTCTGGTGAGCCTTAATGGTCTTTAGTAGTGTATTTGGGAGAGGGCAGTTGGGGAGATTGGTCCTATAGGGCTTACAGCCTATGGTGCTCAGCTACGGGTGTGTTAGGGTTTAGGGTTTAGGGTTTAGGGTTTAGGGTTTAGGGTTTAGGGTTCAGGATTTAGTGTGATTTAGTTGTACATGTGTAGGGTCATTTTAGGCTTTGGGTTGATGGTCTAAAGACCCTGAAACCTGATAGTAACCTTTGCGGAACCCGTCTAGTAACTCTTAAAAGTGCTCAACCCTAGACCCTGAACCCAAAACCCCAAACCCTAAACCCTAAACCCTAAACCCTAGACCCTAAACCCGAAACCCCAAACCAAACCTAAACCCGAAACCCTAAACCCCAAAAACCCAGGGCGGTCCAGGAACCGCTGAAGCTCCGAGAGTGAAAGCCGCAGCCGCCCCTCGCGCATCTGCGATGCCACCGGTGGCGATGACCGGCACCTTTGGGTGGTTTAGGGTGCAGGGCAGCGTCGGCTTTAGGATCTTTTGTCAGGCTTTCGGCCTAAACCCTAAACCCTAAACCCATGCGGGGCGGACGGGGAGGGAGTTAAGGATTAGGGGATCTAGACGGTCGTATGTCTTTTAAATTGCGGCGGTTAGGATGCTTCGGGCTGATATTGGTGGTCAAAGTCTTGAAATGACGGAGCTAGTTATATATGCCTATCTGGGATCTCAGAAGGTATCCTAATCAGGAAACTGTCCACTTATGATTTCGGGTTCCCTAAACTTTAAACCCTGCCCCTTAA